TAGGAGTATGGTGCCCGCCGTGCTCTAAAACAGAGAAAGAAACGTACAAGTTAACGATCGAATCTTCTGAATGGCAGCCGCCGGATCTTGACAATGCATTGCTTGAGATTGGCCAACATGGTAAACATGAAACCAAGGTGCAGTTTGCACAAGTAGTCGCTGTGATCCTTAAAAAAAGGTGTCTGAGAGAAAACCGCCAAATATCACAGCAAACCCATAGAGTTTTATTCATATATTCCAACAAAAATGTACCCCAGTTCTCTCAACACGAGCTTCACAACAGATTCATTTAACTACCGCACAAATAAATGGCACTCAAAGTTTTCCTGTCACGCGCACAGTCTGCTAACGCAATCTTCACAAGATCAAATTCAGCCATGTGAAGTTGTAATGAGAAAAGGAAGGACTTGTCACGACGCTTGTACGAGCAAAAACAACTCAAGTCAGCTCGGGCACCTAAGGCTCATCAAAAAACGGGATGCCGAGACATAAACAGTTGAAGAAGGAAAATCACAAAGCAGAAAGGGAATAGGAACTGGCCTGCTGTACTCAGGAGGCAACTCAAACTGGTCATTGAATAGAAAGTTAAAATTATTTCATACTGAATGGCAGAGAATGAAGTCTCACTGCACTGAACAAATTCACAACAAGGATAGTTTACCTTACACACTTGATCACAATTGGTACAAGGAGACAAATAAAACTCAAGAAAGCCTGAAATAATAATAAGAAGAAGAACAACAACAACAACAGCCAGAAGTAAGGTACAAAATATCTAAACAGAAGAGAGGAGACGGCAAAATCAAATACAATTAATATATTAAAACTAAGAGCTCAAGGTGAATTGCATGGGCAATAATGAACCAAGATTACATTACCTGTGACTCTAATTAAATTTAAGGTAAATCAATGTACAACCATAGGTATGAAAACAAGACAGAGTTGAAAATCGCTTTGGTCGAAATAGCAAAGTAGAAAATTCTGGACGGAACGGCAACGGAAACAGACAATAGATCGTTTTCACGTGACGTCATCACTTTCTAAAATCCAAAATTAAAGAGCCACCAAAGTTTTTATCCTCATCAGGCATAAGAGGCGGTATATTTGTATCTGTTTACAATTTTACAGCTCAATAGCGTGCTTCGTTTGGAATCCAGAGCATTTTGAATTTCAGGGTTGTGGAGGTGCGTGACACAAGGCTATGATCGAGTTTGTCGAAAAATATATACTTATCTCATGATTTTGAGCCTTTTTAGAAGTTAGAGCATTAGGAAAAGTGCTTAAGTAAATGCTTGTTTGATCAGTACTGATAATCAGTCGCCTAGATAGCCAGAGTAAGTTCCAGATGTTTACACTATTTTCCGGCCGCCAGATTGGTGTACCACGGAGGTACACCAACATGGCGTTTTCATACTGGGCTCTGTAAATATCGATGAAACATTTCGACGAATATCTGAAGTTTGGGGAAACGCACAGGCCTAAAACTTGGAGAAGTGTCTTATTTAGCTGTCTTCTACAACATCATAATTTCATAGCTTTTTCCAATGGATGGTTTTTGATTTATTTTTTTATTGCGTGACAGTGAAAACGATCTATTCCAATATACGCTGCAGTTGTATTTTCTACATGAAATATATTTTTTATTACACGACTAAGTCAGTTCAGAGGGCCAAAACCTAATTTCAACAAATCAGACTACTCAATATTCTCTAAATATTGGACGGGTGTTGTCCCGAAAGATCCCGCGTTACGATCACTCTTAAATATTTTCTTGTACTTTTATGGCTAAAGTTTTTGAAAGAACTTGCTTTCACGTAAAGAATCTTTTACTTTTTCTTCCAGCTCTCTTTCCCTTCTGTTTGGTTAACTTCGGAAGCGATGTTTTTTACAGTCCGTGATATTCATGATCGTGGCATTTTTGAAAACAACATGGTGTAATAAATATCTCATTAACCAAGCTTGCTCGGGACCGTACTGGGAGAATATCAACCCTCCGCAGTTTTTGTACGGACCTCGCCGTCAAGACCACGGGCCGATATTCTCCCAGTATGGTCCTGGAGCTCTCTCAATAAGATACATGCACAATATGTGTCAGTCGAGGAATATGGCTTCACACTAGGCGGAAAGCTCTTTTATATTGCGCTTCATTCTGTTAAATTCTATCGATCAACAGACAAGAAAGCACTCCTTACCATCACCATCAAAAAGTAAAACACAGGCTTCCACCCACTGTGTGTATTTATTTCAGGGACAAGAAACTGAAATGAGACAAAACATGTTACAATCATAACGACATTGACCAGTCCATTAGATCACAAGGTACTGGCTGTGGTTTTGTACAGTTCTTGCTGTGGCAGTGGCTGACTATTTAAAAATTAGAGGTGTCTATCACCAGATATAGTTGGTGAAAGGAAACGCCCTGGGTCAACTGTCAACGTCTGCAGAAACCGACAGCATTGAAATTGCTTTTTTTGGTATTGACGTTTATCTTTCAGCAACAATGTATGACAAGCACGGCCTCACCAAAGGTAACTTAAAATTAAAAGCTAAAAGTCATTAAAAGATATGTGCCATGTACTCCAAAACCATCCACAATCCAAGACACAGTAGCTATTGTGTATTCTTAGGTTTTGTTACAGCAGATTCACTGTCCTCACCATATGCGACTCCTGTTACTGCACTACAGGTTAATTCTTACACGCCTTATAGCATCTCCAATCCCTACTACAGCAGCTACAGTACATTTGCTGCTGTCCGATAACAGCCCACTGTTCTGTCCATCGGCAACCCCTGATACAGTAGCTAAGGTTCTTTCTTACCTGTCCTATACCAGCCCCCAACACTTTCTGTACCATCCACAATCCTTGTTACAGTAGATAAGGTTCATTCTTACCTGTCCTATAGCAGCCCCAACACATCTTGTACCATCCACAATCCCTGATACAGTAGCTAAGGTTCATTCTTACCTGTCCTATAGCAGCCCCAACACTTCCTGTACCATCCACAATCCCTGTTACAGTAGCTAATGCTTCACTGTTTGCGCTGAGAACACTCTGCCCAAAAAAAAGACACAAGTTTTACATTAGTAGAAAGTAACAACAACGACTGTTCAGACACTTTATGAACAAGGAACAACTTCATCCTGTGACATCAATTAATGATATTTCTGATAGTTCTGACAATTTTTCTTTTGTTTTTCTAGGCATAAATGTTATAAAAATTTAGACTGAGAAAGTCCCCTAGCTAACAAAAAGGTAAAGAGAATATCCTGTAGAAAGGTCATCCAGAATGATGAATGCAGTGATGTTTTGTTACCTGTCTTCCAAGATCCGCTGATATGGCAGAACTTATCAGATTAGCAGGTCCACCAATCAGAAAACCTGTGCAGGAGTCAAGTAAAAGAAAGTCACAAAAATACACTGCAGAGTAATTAACAAAAGAAAAATTATATTACATTTGAAAGCGTGTGCAAGCCCATTCTACCTAGAGGAGTTGGAGATCGATGGGGAGCATACATGCAAAAATTCATTTCAGAATAAATCAATAAACGAACAAATGTACAAATGTGGAAATAAATCAAATCTCTGAAAATAAGACTAAGGTAGAAATACACAAAAGAGATACTAATAAACCATAAAGGTACAAGGATGGTTAAGGATACCTCCCTCCCTCCCTCCCTCCCTCCCTCCCTAATATACTAATATACTAAAATTAATAATATTACACTCTAATTTAGATAATCACGAATTTAAAAACTCTACAATTAATTTACGTTTCAATGCTTTTTTAAAAATTGAAATAGTTCTACCGAGTTTTAAAGTAAGGTCCAATGAGTTCCAGATGGTAGTTGTCCTATAATAAAATGTTCTTTGGCCAGTGGCAGTTCTGAATGGAGAAGGTTAACACAGATTTCAAACGACGATCTTGGAAAATTTAGGCCAAACTTTTCCAGATGCGCAAACCGTGACCTAGCTCCTTTAAGATCTATTTCCTCATTTAATCCTTTTAAATTTGGGTCTTGCCGGATTTTGTTCGATAATAGTTCTGCTGATAGTATAAATAGATATGGAAGAAATGGGCATCCTTGTTGTGCACCTCTTAAAGGTTTGAACCAGTTTGTAATAAAGCCACTGTTTGTCATTATAATTATAATTATTATTTACCAGTTAAACACATCAAGGCAGCATTCAGTGTGTAACCACCTCCAGTATCTGGAATAATTTATGATACAAACACACTGTAAGTAAATAACTAGTCATACTGTGTGTGATATGTGTGTATGAGATGGATTCACAATTGTCTTGCTACTGTGGCCCCAACCAAATCTCATATCTTCGATGGCTAACTGATCAGAAAGTTGATTGTCAAGTGGTATATCAAGTACGAGAGAGTGTTTCATCACAATTCCAGAGGGAGAATTTTAAGAGTTGAAGGTATGATCTGTCTTACAGTATTTTTGACAATACTATTGAAGGCATTTGAAACATATCTATGTGATACAACACCGTTGCAAGAGTTTGATGGATCTTTCTAATCTTGTGTGACAATATTGAACCACACATCATTGAACAACTCACAAATAAATCTTTAGTTTTCTTAATGTTTCCAAAAGGTCTAGATAGCAGCAGACATGTAAATATTTTAAGGAAAACGACCAATTTTTTAAGTTTGCAAGACATGTTTCGACAGNAAGCTGGTAGTGGCGTGATCTAAAATATGAAAGCAGTCTATTGAACACAATGAGCGACAACGTTCAGAATTCTGAAGATGTTTGAAAATGTGAGAGGCCCTATCAATAATGTATTGTGAAAATACACCTTTCACTTACTTCCATAAATAAAAAGCATGGGAACAGATAACACAAGCATTATTATGACCAAAGGAGAACGCTTTCCCATCAGATCCTGAGAGATAAAGTGAATCATGATTTAAAAAAAACACTTAGCAACATCAAAATATAGCTCAAAACACGGAACTTCTAGCAAACAAATGGAGTGCATTGAAAGATTAGGTTACTGTTTTTAGGTTAGATTAAATTTTATCGACCTTTTTATTCCTCTCGATTATCTTGGCTGTTTATGTGAGTCTTATTTAATCTCCACAGCCAAGAATTTACTATATCCTTTCTTTTCTTTTCCTGTTAACATTTATTGGTGATGCGCAAAGAAATAGTCACTATTTTCTTACTCATTTAATACTTACACTGATTAATCCTCCAATAATGCCACCTAAAAATAAAAAAAATTAAAATTTTTTAGTATATAAAATTGATGAATCCAAACTAAACCAATTTACCAACATATAATGCTATCAAAAAGTACAATGGGAAAAAGACCTTCAGAGTATTACAACACAGGGCTTGCTGCACTCCTCTGTACAGATGAAGCAATTTGACTTTTCCATTGACCGTCCAATTTTCAAAGATGGCTTTGGTGAGAAAATCGTTTCACATCAATCTTGTCATTTGTTTTGGGTTCTCACGGTATAATTCGTATTTTTGTGACTGAAGACTGTGGATAAAGTTGATGTCCTCAAGGGGAGGTATAAAAAGCACCTTGTTCATGCAAGGAGTACAATGACAACTTCAAAGACAAAAGTTCATTACTTCACAAGAAAAACGCACATTATCCCAGGCAGCATGGGTGGCTGCATCAAATTATTTCTATTGGTTAAGCATTTTTCAGTGTCAATCAAAATTGTACATGTGCATTATCATTTAGCCAGTGAAGAGCCTCCGGCTGGAAGGGTCTGACCATAGGTGGAAGGGCCAAGGAGAAACTGGCTGAGAATAAAGCGAGGAGGGGGGACGTGGTTGGGGTGGTGTGGTGTCCCCTCCTCTCTCTCCCCTTCTATCTCTTCTCTCCTCTTTCTTCTCACCCTCTCTTTGCCCTGTCCTCGACTACAGAGCTTGTTTACTGGCTAATTGTCGTGACACAAGCCCTTACCAGTAGGTTGCCTAAAACCGTTGTCTATGATTTATAATATTTATCTTCATACACTTGATATCATAGAATCATCGTTGCGTGTGTATAGAATATACGTAACTTGCAATTATTGACAGCTATCATAATTATCTCAATGAGTGTGCACTAATTTGGGGGGTTCAGTGGAGGGCAATTATGTTTACACAAGATAACATTTACTTGGGAGGGAAATGGATTTTATTTTAAATATGTCTTGGTTTCACATCCCTGCACTTGCCCAGACCAAAACACAGGCGTTAATTATGTGCATGCAGTTTGGCTTACAGTATTATATACTGCTTGTATATAATATAAGTACTGGGCCACATTTGGATTATCATCATTACCAACAATTCCTCCAATGTCATAAAATGTTGAAACTTTGTCTGCAACTGTGTCCTTCCAGTGAAATTCTGAAACAAACGTAAAAAAAATATTGTTATGATTGGTAGATGCTTAATATGTTCATCATGTATACGTCCAAGGGAGAATGTTACTTTTGACTCTGTACTTCAAGTACACAAGAGATTCTAATTTTGACTCTGTACTTTGAGGGCACTGCGGGAGGCGCGGTGGCCTCATGGTTAGTGTGCTCATCTCTGGATCAAGTGGTCCAGGTTCGAGCCCTGACTGGGGACATTGTGTTATGTTCTTGGGCAAGACACTACTCTAGCAGTGCCTCTCTCCACCCAGGTGTATTTTATAAATGGGTACCAATGACCTTAATGCTGGGGGTAACCTTGCGATGGACTAGCATCCCATCCATGGGGGAGTAGAAATACTCCTAGTCACTTCATGCTACAGAAACCAGGATAAGCTCCAGCCTGATGGGCCACTTGGCTTGTATGCAGACGTAACCTTTACCTTACTTTAAGTGCATCCATCCGACAAATACCTATATACCATCTTACATCTTAAAAGACACTGGACTATAAAGAAACTTTAGACTGTAGTGCAATTGTGAAATTAAGTATCAATCCCGTCATGCTCCAGGACTTGTTGTTGCTGACCAGTTGAATACAAGACTATCAGTACAAGATTGGTGTGAGATGTGATAATTATTGTAAGGACAATGTGCTGTGTCCATGGGCCAGACACTTTACTCTCACAGTACTTCTCTTCGCCCAGGTGTATACATAAATGGGTACTACGTTTGAACTCAAACATTTCCCTTTTTACCAGCAATGTGCTGCTACATTACCAAGAAAATTAATACCAAAAACAAAACAAATACTTACTGTCTGATAAATAGAAAGGCAGCCAAAAGAAGAATGAGTAATTGACCAGTTTCAGACAGGCATACGAGAGTGAGTACTGTTGAAAAGGAATCCACATGAAACATTTAACTTTGTAAATAATGAATTTACAGTCAAAACAAGTGAAGCATACCCCTCAAGATTACATTAATGCTAGTCGTTTCAAGAATGCAATAATGAACTCATTATTGGAAAATTGAACCCACTGGTTGTTCCAAGAATACGGCTAATGGGTTTAATGTAAAAAAAATCAATTTAATATTGATTTTTGAAATGACTAGCGAGTTCAATATTCAAATAATCAATACATTATTGCATTCTTGAAACGATTAGCACGTTCAATATTCAAATAATCAATTCATTAATGTAATCTTGAGGGGTACGCTTCACTTGGTTTGACTATAAGCAAACTGCATTTGTGCTCTTCAATAATTAGGTCAGGGGCATCCCCAAACTCCAGCAGGAGTAAGATATTTTGCAGCATTTGTTTTTTTTCCTGGGTGCTTTCAGTTCAAATAGAGACTTCCTCAACATACCACATACCACAAACTGTACCTTTCAAATTGTATATTTTATGCATGTTCTCCAATTTTGCTAGGTCAAATAAATCCCCTGCACTTGGTATAGTATTACACCTCCTCCATGTTTTAAGCCCTTCCCACTTAATCTAGAAAATCTAGAAAAGAATCAGCCCCTTGGGGGCTTGATATATGGAGCTTACTGATTTCATTGAAATTTATGAACAGACTGTCAGATTGACAAAAGATGTACCTGTCCTGCTGATAACAGAAAACCACTTTTGTAATCAGGCCATAATAGAACAGCCAATCAAAATCGACCCTCCCTTAATTGTCAGTCAGCCCTCGCAACTGCTATCTCCATTGCTCACCTCCCATGATGAACAACCTGCTACAGTTATTGTACACAATGGCCAATTCCCTTTATGAGACATGCCTGCAAGGAATCATGGTAGTTGTATTCATCAAAACAAATATCCAGTCCAAGATGATGAATACAACTACCATGATTCCCTGCAGGCATGTTTCATAGAGGGAATTGCCCATTACACCATGCTAACAATCTCCATGATAGCTAACTTACAGGGATTACTCCTGGAAGTAACACAGCTTGACAAAAGCTCACAGCTTTCTTCTGTGGTTGTGTCACTGAGCGATATGATGCACTGGATGACTTCAGAAAACAAATACAACAAAGAGTTTTGAATAAATAAATCAATTAAACCATTTGAGAAGTAGTATAATCATCTGATATCCAACTAGTATGCCCCCAAAATATAGAAATCAAAAAATAAAATAAAAGTAAACACACCCTCAAAAACTATACAATCATATGCTTAACATATTTGTAGAGCATGGTGCTAAGCCAATGAAAATTCTTGAATTACATTATCATATGATCCAGTTTCTAATTATTCCACATAAGATAGGATTCTTTTCAGTCATTGTCATCCATAGTTGGTCAATAACCATTTGCCAAATTAATTTTACATAATTAATTCTGGCCAATCTTGAACATAATTTTCAGTATGAACCATCCATATGTATGTATACAAATGTGATACAGAACACATCTATCTGCATATTTTTTTCTTCAGGTTACTGGTAGCCTTGTATACAGACTTTTGTATGGCTTGTCATGCACTGGGGAGGAAAAATTGCATGATGAACCCACAGAGTGTCTGCACAGAAGGCTATGTTACTGTAACATTCAGCAAAGTTAAATACTAAGGTACACTGTAACTTTCATAATTAACCAAAAAGTGATATGATCATTCAAACATAGATTGGACTATAATTAGCAATTAGACCATGCCACTGGCCCAAGTTTTCTATAAGCAAGTAGTTAATGACACATAGCCGAGTTGAGTATCACTTATAGAAAACAATGGCAAGTAGTCCAATTAATTAGTAAAATCTCCAAAGGAATACAGCACAAAGCCCATGATCTTGTGTATTTTAAAGCCTAAAATTATGAATAATTTTCAGTTTAGAGAGCAGCGAGTGCAATGATCATAGTCTATCAGCGGTTAAAAACTAGCGAGACAATCTCAGATAATGCAGAGAGTAATTTACGGCTCTGATGCAGTGGTCACACAGTTCCTCCTCACCCCTGTTGTTCTCTCCCTTGGTAGTCAACTAGGCTTTTCCCCTTTGCAGAATATGAGCGGACAAAAACTTGATAAGCCATACTCTTAGTAGTGTGTGTGTTTCATGTTTGTGTTTTGCCCAAAAATAACTTACAATTACCGTTTGTCAAGACAGTTTCAAATTTATTGTGGTATTGTATCTTGAGTTTCATTCATTTTAAATTCAATAATATCTAGAAGTAGCAAATGTTTGTAATTTGATACTTTTGTTTTCCTCACCAATGTATGCAACAAGATACCTTTGTTTCCACGAAAATATAAGAAAGATTTGTATTTTTTTAAACTCACTGCTGGGGATAAATGGAATATAAAAATTAAATATCTGCTGAAAAGTCGGAGAGGAACGATTTTGTTTTATTCAAAACATAAATTTTCATTTCACCAATAAATAAGAACTAATCGAATTATCAAATAGTCACGTCGAATAATGGAATGGTACACTCTAATTCTGTTGCCAGCCGAGTTGGTGTAAACAATAAAACCATATCAAACTAATACACAATGCTATCGAGTAATACAACTGAGGAGCATTTGAACAACAAGTATTGAAAGTAGAGATCTTTACTTGACTGAAATTATATCCCACATCGATAAGCGAGTCACCTCATCAACTGATGAAATTAATTGGAGGTTTCACTGAGTGCCACGGAGTCTGCGGCAATAATACCAAAGTTTCTTTTGTCACAAATTTACTAGTTTTACATGTAACTAACGCAGAAAAGTTTTGACTGAATATGACCTTTGGGCTCTCTTTCATAGAAGAGGAAACAAACAAGCTGCTAAGGAGAAGCATTATGTTTCCATTCTTTTTTTGAACCCTGGCAAACACACAATAGTTATAAAACAGCAGACAACATTTCTTGAATCGAGCTAAGGAAGATTCCAGAAGATACGCAGTCACAGTACCATTCTTTGTACTAAAAAAGGAGAACTGACATTACCTGAAATATAACTGCTATCCCCAGCCAAAACGAGAGTGTGATATCACTCATTACAAAAAATAAAAAAAGTGTGCATCTGAACTCGAGAATGGAGTTTATCACACTAGCAATGCTAGAACGTATGCGTCTTACATGTTATGTTTTACCACAAGGGAAAGCACTCAACATTCGTGGGTAGTCCCATATGAAATGTATCTTTCACCTAA